TCGTACGATATGGTCGTCAAGTACTTCAATGAGTCCACCACTGGTCCGATCAGATTGTCGTACGACTGGATTTGTGACAAAATCTGACCGATAATCGCAATGTTAGTCATATTCACAGACAATACCGTAGTTTACTATAAAAACTCACGTATTGGAAAAGAAATGAAGGGTTAGAATGACTTAGTTTTCCGATCTGACGGCCGGACAGCTTCACGTTTTCTTTGCTCAATCTTTTCATTATATATTTTATGCGCTTTAGAGTACCGGCCCTCGTCTTAATCATCAGTGTGTTTGACGGCTCAGCCTTCCAGTTGGTGTACAGTTTGTATCTCTGCTGATATGGAAAGGACTTCAAAAGAAGCCAGAGTTCTTCAGAGAGCGCACAATTGCTCTCAACCAATGATATCGCCGGAAGAACTGCTTCGTCCAGAATTGTCGCGATTTCATGCTTAAAGTTACTGGCGTTCAATGGGTTGGACAACAGTGTCCGACAAATGCGTATTATTTTGGCGATCAATAGCGTGTCTTTGTACAGATGCGGACCAATCGTCACAATCATCGGAAACGCAATATTTTTTAAATCCGATATATTTTCCAATTGTTTAAGAAGTGGTTGTTTCGCACATTTATATGCTTTGATTTTGGAGGCGATGACTGTCGGCAAACCTGAGTGTCTTTCGTATAAAATATATATAATTAAAACGTTGTGAAAAAAATACAAAACTTACTGTTTGTATATCTTATCGATGGAGAAGTGTATCAAATCACACAACTGTTTGGCAATATTATCGAAAGAGACGGCATAATATTCCGGGAGCTTATGGATGAGGAGTTTGGCGTTTTCCCAGTCGCCCACTCTTAACAGGGCTAAAATCAAACCCAACTTCTGGTTACTTAAGAACCGCTTTTGCTTCTCTTCCTCCAAATTGATGTGTTCTTCGCTCTGTTTGTCTGACGTCACGATCGCATTAATCCTCTTCGCATATGTCTTCGCTTCTGTTAATTCTGTCTTAAAATTGTCTAATATTTTACTGTCGATTGGAGACAACTATAAGCAGAATACAAAACAATTAAAATAATTTAACATAAAACATATGGTCGAAGACATACGAAGTCATATAATTGATTCAATTCAATGAGTTGATGGTGTAGTGCGAGGGCCACCACTTCGTACAAAGTTTCCGGTGTTTCCGTTACGCTCTCGTTCTGTAAGCATTCAATCTATTTGTTAAACAAATTTGTGAATTCAATGGATTCAATACCTGATAGAAACTGAATTTGAAGGCAAGAATTTGTGTCAATGTTGTAGAATTTGGGAGAAATTCTTTGATTAGAGGTATATAACAATTATGGAGATCTATTCGATATTCAAAACACTCCAGTAGTATATCCAACACTCGATTGGGATCCAAATTAAAGCAACCTTTAAATAAATTATTTCCAT